TCATATAACTTTGCAGTTGTACTACTAGGTATTTATCACAGAGAAATGGAAACTTTATTGCCACACACAAACATGGATGAAAATGCTCATTAGCAGCTTTATTCAAAGTAGACTAAACCAGAAAAAATTAATATGTCCATCAGTGGGTGAACAGCAAGACAAACAATGATACGTGAACACCTTGGAATACTATGTAGTAATAAAAAGAAACATCCACATACCAACCTGGAAAAATCTTTAGAGAATTATGCTGAGTGGATAAAGTCAATCCTAAAAGATTAAATTCTCTATGATCCATCTACATAACATTCTTAAAATGAAAAAAATCATAGATACAGAGAACATATTAGTGATTGCCAGGAGGTAGTGACAGACCATAAGGTGGAGGAATGAATGGGCGTGGCTACAAAAGGGTGACATGAGGAGTCCTTGTAGTGAAGGAATATTTACTGTATTCAAAATGTATGTTGTATAACATATGACACAATGATGTATTAATACAGGAGCAGCATTGTAAATGCTTATTCTGTCTCTTGACTCTGTCAATATCAGTGATGTTGCACTGTAGTTTTGTAAGATTTTCTACAATGTTTCCATTGAGTAACATGGTGAAAGTGGTACATAAGATAGCTCTGCCTTATTTCATACAATTGAATGTGAATTTATAGTTATTTCAAAATTAAAAATTTCATTTTAAAAAGGGCAATTCAGCTTCCACTTGGCTCCTTTCTCTTGGGCCATATGTATTTGATAATTATATTGTGAAGGTGCCAATCGGCAGCATGGAAAGGCCATGTGTAGGTGCGTGGACTGATAGTCATAGCTGAGTTCCCAGATGACAGCCAGCATCAAGCAGTAGACTTGTGAATGAGCATCCTGGAGATGATTCTAGGTCCTAGACATCCTTAGAGCTGCTCTGAGTTAATGCTGTGTGGAGCAGAGACTAGCTTCCTCTGAAGCCCTCTCCAAATTGCATATTTGTTTGCAAAATAAATGCCTGTTGTTGTTTTGAGATGCTAATTTGAGACTGGTTTATTATGCAATAATAGGTAACTGGGGGGGGAAGTGACTTTTGTCTATGAATATTCCATAGAGAATTGGCTTTTTCGTTGGACCTTTGTGTTAAGCTAAAATGGCATTTTTTTTAAAGTATCATCAACTGGTACCTTTGAACAGTTCAAAACTGGTTTCATTCCAATTATTTTTAATTAGTGAGGCTTTATTATAGCCACCATATGTTCAAATTAGAAATTGGGCACATCATTTAGTTTAAGATGCTTATGCCACTTACAAATACAGGAACAATTTGGAAAACAGTTTGGAGTCTAAAATGGAATAGCTGAAATTTTCAGGGGTTTATAGTACAGACTATTTGAAATTAGGAATTAAGAAATACATATACATATATAACTATTATTGGTATATAATTATAAATTATTATTTCCAAGTGGATTGTTAGGAACTATAAATTATCATGGCTTATTAAAATACATATATTTTAAACTATAATTGAGTATAAATGTCATGATGTGTATACACACACACACACACACACACACACACACACACACACACACACACATGAGGGAGCTCCAAAAAGTTTGTGAAAGAGTAGAATTAAAAGATAAAAATAAAAAATATAAATTTCTCAACCAAACACCATCAAGTTCAAGACACTTTGTAAGTGATGATACCAGTCATTTAGTGCATTCCTAAAGAAGTGGACATCCTAGGAATTTAACCTGTCAATGCAGTATTTTTTACATTATTAACTGAAGACAAACAGGTGCCCTTTAGAGAATTTTTAAGATTAGGAACCAAAAAGAAGTCAGAAGCAGCAAATTCAGGACTGTAAGGTAGATGTCTAATGATTTCCCATCAAAACTCTCACAAAATTGCCCTTGTTTGATGAGAGAAATGAGCAGAAAATTGTTATGCTAAAGAAGGACTCTCTGGTGAAGATTCTCCTGGAAATTTTTCGGCTAAAGTTTTGGCTAACTTTCTTAAACATTCTTAATAAATAGATGTTATGGTCCTTGGGTCCTTCAGAAAGTCAACAAGCAAAATGTCTTGACCCTCCCAAAAAATTGTTGCCATGACCTTTGCTCTTGACCAGTCAGCTTTTGCTATGACTGGACTACTTCTATCTCTTGATTGTGTTCTGTTTTCAGGATCATACTGAAAAAGACAGGTTTTATCTCATTACAATTCTTTAAAATGCTTCAGGATTTTTAAAAAATTCATTATTAGATTATTTTAAGGATTTTTTTTAAGGGGGGTGGTTGTTTTTGTTTTTGAAGGGGTGGGATCTCGCTAGGTTGCCCAGGCTGGTCTCAAACTCCTGGACTCAAGTAGTCCTCTTACCTCCGTTTCCCACAATGCTGAGATTACAGGCATGAGCCACTGCACCAAGCCTGCTTCAGAATCTTAAACTCATTTGTTTAAAAATCTCATTGAAAACTGTGCTTTTGACTGCCACTGATCTGGGTCAACCGTTTTGGTACCTACTGAGTAAAAAGTTTGCTCAAAAAAAAAAAAAAAAAAGAAATACACAACAAAACAAAAAGCACAAAAGTTGGCTTAACTTTAATTTTTCAGTCATAAATCTATAAGATGAACCAATTGAGATGTCTATGGTTTTGGCTATTGTTTGTGCTATTAATTGTACGTACTATTCAGTTAAGGGATGAACAATACGGTTTTTTCTTCCCTCACAAATTGGCATGGATGGTCTGCTGCTGGGGGTTTCATCTTCAACATCATCTCATTCCTTCTTAAATGAGTTATCCATTTGCAAACTTTGGGGGCATTGTCCTGAGGATAGTTCTTGTAAAGTGTCATTGACTTCACTATTCTTCCACCCAAGCTTCACCATAAATTTGATGTTTACTTCAATTTTTAGCAGAATTTATGTTGCTCTGATTAAAGGTACTTTTCAAACTGATATCTTATTCTTCTTAGTTCCTCAAACTAGACCCTACTCAGACATGTTATAACAATACAAATTTATTTTGGTGCAAAAAATCTTTTAATACTTGCATAGCTTTTTTTTATACTACACATTTTCCATGAAACATTTTGAAAACCGTGCGTGTGTGTGTGTGTGTGTGTGTGTGTGTGTGCGCGCGCGCGTGTATGCACATCGTCTTGCAAATGAATCAGACTATATACAAATCCTGTGTCATCTGGCATTTCTATTCTGCTGTAATACTCTGTCATGTTTAACATTACCAATACAAGAAAACTAGATATGAAATCAAGCTGGACATAAATAGGGGAAGTCAGTTTCTTCCTGTCTTCCATTCCTCTTTCAAACATTTCGTCTAACATTTGTTAATAGCCCTCTTATCCAGTTTAGGCTTTTTCTACTAAGGAATTCCTGGCTTCACTGATAGGGTGTTTTTGTTTTGTTTTTTCTTCCATCATCTCCTTGAAACATTACTATTCACCTTTTTTTTTTTTTTTTTTGAGTTGGAGTCTCACTCTGTCACCCAGACTGGAGTGCAGTGGCTGCTCCCGGCCACTGCAGCCTCGCCTGCTGGGCTCCAGTGATCCTTCTGCCTCAGCCTTCTGTGTAGCCGGAATTACAGGCATGCACTACCACGCCTGGCTGTTTTTTTTTTTTTTTTTTTTTGGATTTTATTGTAGAGATGAGGTCTCGCTGCCCAGGCGGGTCTCGAACCCGCGAGTTCAGGCAATCCACTCACCTCAGCCTCCCAAAGGCTTGGGATTACAGGCTGAGCAACCGAGCACGACTACTATTCATCTTTTGATTCACGCCTACCCAGACTATAAGAAAGTTTCCTGAGTCTTCATATTCTTGGTTTCACGTTCAGAAGCAAAAGTAGCTCTATAACATTTTTAAGTACATTTTCAAGTCTATTTTGTTTCTCTTCTAGAACATTCTGTCTTTATTTCCTCCCTTTCTTTCTTTTTACATGGAGACATGTTTACATTGCCTCCCATTGCACCAGCCCTATGTCACATAGCACATATATGGGACTGGCTTTTCTTTGTTTTTTGTTTTGAGCCAGCCCAACTAAGTTTAAATTACTGGTTTCCCCTCTGACTAGACATGCAAGCTGGGGCACATTGTTTAAATTCCCTAAGTCTTGTCATTTGTAAAATGGACTCATAATGGCACTTGGTAGAATTAATTGAAGTATCCTTAATTCCTTTTCTTTTTGTTCTTCAAACTCTGAAATTTGCTGTTTTAATGAGTAGTGTTGACTGAGTTGGACTGGGAACCGTCTTCCAATTAAGGGAGAGGCTGACTAGAGATTTTGGAGGTCAAGCTGTGCAAAAAAACCAGAAATAACAAAGCACAGAGGTTCCTTGAGCCTAGTGCTTTTAGAGGCCTGAAGAAGAGCAGTTCTGATACTTTTTATGTTGCTTTGTATTTAGAACTCTGTTGGCAGGAAGGTTAAGGCAGAGGGAGGGAAAATTCTGAAGATGGGAGAAAGGACAACTATAAGGAGAGGGAAGGGGAAACAACCCTTCCAAAACACAAAAAGATAATGTGATATAAAAAATGATGATTTCAAAAAGACTCACAATCCCACTCTCTAACACATAACCTGTTTTTATCTTCTCATGTCCTGTCTTCGTTCTCGACAGAATGAAATCATTATTTTATGTGGTTGCAACCCCAGTGAAAAACAAAATGTGTATTCTCTGACAAGATTCATGTGTAACTCTGATTTCAATCTTCCCTTTGAGTCAGAACTCATCTATTTTAAGTTATTTTCCACATTGACTATTGATGATCAAATATAAACAAGTCTAACTTTTGATTGTCCTAGTGTCTCATAATTTTGATCATAAAAATGCTGCAGAATAAATCAATTTAGCACGTGTCTTCTTGACTCTGGGAATGTCCAATTGGGTCAGTAAAAGAACCACATTTTTGTCTTTAGATAGATGATATAAGCTCATAATTTGTCAAATTGCTGCATCCTTTTGGACTGGGCCTCACTAGCAGAGGCTGGAGTTGGGCATTAAGAGGTGTGTGGCCCTCGGCCGGCACGCGTTGCTTTGGGCCAGAAGGGGGCGAGTAAGTTCCAGGCACCCTCCCGAGTTGCCAGGGGGCGTGGCTTCTACATCCTTGATGGACAGCTAAGGATGCGGGCGAGGATGAGGTAATACCAGCCGAGGCAAGGAGGGCGTGGGGGTGTGCGTGCGCAAACCCCGAGACATCGTGTCTCCAGCTCACGCTGCGGACGCCGGCCGTGCTGCATTAAAAAAAGAAAAGAAAAAAGAAAGAAAGTCACATTTCTGGGAAGGAGGCTGCAAAGTTGCGGCCAGGCGACAGCAGCGGTCTCGGGGCCATGTCGTGGCGGGTCGCTGCTCCGCGTCAAGGAACTGGGGAAACCCCAGCGGGCGCGGGTTTGCCCTAGCGCCCTGCCTGGGAGGGGCGCCTCATTCTGGAAGCGACTGAGCAGAGCCACAGGGAGGGGGAGCTCTCCCGGCGGCGGCGACTGCGTCTCGTGCGGTGAAAGGGTGG